CTGTTGAAACAATAAGTAACATCACCGCAGCAACAATACCAGAAACAGCAGAAACCGGCACTCCAGCAACTTCGCTAGCAACAACACACGAAACCGAAACTGCCAAACGACCTAAACCCACAACCGAGGTACCTGGCCAGAAAATAGCAACAGTTACAGAAAAAACTGTAACAACTGAAAGTACTTCAACAGCTCGAACCGAACCAGTACACATCCCAATGGGTCCAGAAGATTTTGGATACGGTGGCGGAATTGCTGAAATCACCGAGCATCGTTTTGAGAGCACTACCACTGAAGGTTTACCAACTTCATCAGCTTTTGGACTAGGTAGTTTAAAAACAGAACCGACAAAATTAAAGGCTTTTAGCGAAACTCCCACGCCACTGGGCCTAGGAAGTAAACTGGCTGGTGAGGGAACAACTGGATTAATAGAATCAACCGAAGAGCCATTTACTGGTTCAACTGAAAGTACAGAAACCAGCACGTTTGCCAAAGAAACTACAGCAACTGCTTCTACCGAATTGTCTGCGAGCAGCACAACTTTAGAAGCAATTAGTAGAGTCACAATGAGTACAACTGAAAGTAGCGAAACGACTTCAATATCCTCACTGGAAACTGAAGAAACGCCAACAACACTGATGGAACGTGGAACGGAAAAAAAAGAAGGATTGAGCTCAACTACTGGAATTCCAGCCAAAACACTGAAGCATAAAAAAATCGTATCCGAAAAGCCAAAAACCGCAAAGTACACCAAGGGAACATTACCAACTGAAGTAGCCACCACAACGACATTAGAGGAAATTAGCACAGAAAGTACTGTAGCATCTAAGACAGAACTATCGAACGCGCCATCTAGTCCACAAGATTTCGGTTATGGCGGTGGAAAAGAAGGAGCAACGGGATCTCTTCCGGTCACTCAACAGGGAATCGTCGAGACTTCAACAGCTTTGATGCTGGAGACAGAATCCAAAAAGCCACAGTATACCACCGAAACGACGGCCGAGCCGACTTCAACGGAAGGTACGCCAAAAATGAGTACCGCAGCTGCATTGGGAAGAACAGTCCATTTGGTGGATGCTGAGCCTAGCTCATCTGAGTATCCTTGGCAATCCAAAACTACAATGCATTTGTTTACCACACATCCAGAAACTGGATCCGGATTCTATGGCACAGGAGTAGAAGAAAGTACCGTCAAGGCTTTGCCTTCATTGTCTGAGCAAACAACAATATTTGAAAAGTCAACAAAAGCTGGAAAAACTGAAGCTACAGGGAAACCCACGAGTCTTGAAGCAACAACGGAATCCAAATTGGAAATGACGACCACAGAATCTGAACTGAAAAGTACTAGCACTTTGGAAGGGCAAAAACCGACAGACAGACGTCACACGGAAGCAGAAGAAACAACCTTTCCAAAAGAACAACAAGTTTCAATAACTAGTTCTGGTTACCAAACAACATCAGCAGAGGAGAAGCAATTGTACAGCACCGAATCGACAGCATTGAGCACACTAATTTCTAGAACAAGTGTTCAAGCTCAAGCAGGTCGAGAAGATTTCGGTTATGGTGGCGGAAATGAAATTACAGAAGGTTTGCCAACAACTGTAGTTGAAGCAAGTCCCACTGCTAGTTCAGAATTACCATCAAGTACCGAGGAGACCAATATCATCGAAACATCCGTCAGCTCCGAATCCCCATCATCGACATATGTGGAATACATGACAACATCCGAAATTTCGTCGTTATCAACAAGCGCAGAACACAAGGCGCCTACTCCAGAAGTGCCCACTGCTTTCGAATCTTTAGAATCATCATCAACAACAAGCAGTGTGGAAACTACTCAGGAATTCACGCCATTTTCGGTAACTCAGGAATTGACGACTAAACTCGAAGAAGCTACGAGAACTACTACGGAAGGTCAAAAAAAGGAGATAGAAACCAGTCAAATAATTCCTGTCACCATTCTGACCGGTGCCGAAGAATTTGGATATGGTGGCGGAGCAATCGAACCAAGCAGTGCTGCAACAGTCACTTCAAAAACGACGCCGAAAGGTAAACTCGCAATTTTTTCATTTTTTGAAAAATTGGAATTCAAAAGCCGTTGAAGAATGCTAGCTTGATGCTTCTGAGAATAGCTTTAGCGATGGTTTCTCCTCCCATAGGAGGTTTTTTTCTTAGTAAAAGTAAAAACTTTGTTTTACACACTTAGAAAAAAGAATCTGTTTGAAATTCAAAGTCTGCGGGATACTGTCTACGTAGAAACCATATTTTAAGCTCCAATTTTCTTTGATTTGCGAACAAATATTCAATACAGAGTTATAACTCCACAACAAGAAGGGTTATGAATTTCGGCGTTTTTTACGCTTGGGTACGTAATGCCGAAGAATGTCATCAAGAGGTAAAGTTAGCAGGTAGATTTGGAAAACATCAAGAGGTAAAGTTAGCAGGTAGTGTCAAAATAACCCGTGAATATGTAACACGCAGCCAGCGCATGGGAGCATGCGCGGCCAGAGGGGTGCTCCTATGGGGATGCGAGAAGCACTCACCCATACCAATAAACAATGCTTCATTTAAAAAAAAAGAACGCACACACAACAGACGAGCGAAAGATTCGGCAACATCTCCAAGCTGCAGTTGCACGGTACGCACAATATCAGGACACGGGAAAGCAACTGCAACAGCTCCAAGCTGCGCCGTGCAATAATCTGACACCAAAAAACAATACCCATTTCATTTGTAATCAAATCGTTATATATCATGGAGAGGGAACTCCAGTCAGGAGATGGGACATTTGCGCATCATGTGGAATCGAAGCGCAACTGGGTGAGGCGAAGAGGATTAGCCACCAACTTCATTTCCTTGTTTTTAATACCTTCCTTTTGTAACAAATATGCAGTTCCGGGATAACGCCAAAAATAGAAAACGATCGGGAAACTGATGCGCCAGTGAATGCGTCATGAAGACACCCTGATGCCCAACGTCTGGCTAGTCTTTCAGGACGTCGCTTACTCGAGATCTCCGCAAAACTGAACAATGCCACGTCCATAGCGACACAACTGTACCGCTCGTTGTTGTCGTTCACAAGAATAATGCAATGCTTCGTCATTCATCGTTGCCAAGTCGACCACGTTGCCGGAAGTAGCAGAGTGGAGGGGAGAGACGGAGATACGGAGGAGAAACGCGAATTGGCAAAGCTTCACAAAAACATTTTGTAGAGGTTCTCCTACTGCCAGACCTTGCAATCATTGGCTACATACCTCAATTTGGTACTTGTCGCCTA